GAGTAGCCAGAATTACAGGCATGTGCTACCATGCCTGGCTGATTTTTAAAAATTTATTTATTGTAGAGATGAGGTCTCGCCAAGTTGCCCAGGTGGGTCTCGAGCCTGCGGGCTCAGGCAATTCACTTACCTCAGCCTCCCAAAGGCACGGGATTACAGGCTGAGCCACCGAGCCTGGCTTCCTTTTCCACCCTTAACCAATATGAGCAAAGTCTAAGAAGAGGAAAGTGTTTGTGTTTCTGGCCTTTGAAATATATTTTTTTAAAGCACTTAGAAACCTGTTTTACAAAAACTGGCTTGCATCTGGGCTAACTGGACTCAACTAATAACATATATCCCTGCTATTTATACATCAGTAGAAAGAAAAATTTCTTATTCCTCCCTCCATACCTTTTTTTAAAAAGTATTTATGCCATTAAATTTGTATTACACCTTTGTGCAATAGGTCAATAATCAAAACATTTGCTATTTATTTTGTTTTTCATGAGAATTTATAATGTTGTTTGTATGAGTTACACGAGTATAGTCAACTTTATATCAATATTGTTTTTGCTTGAATGTCATGACCCTATCATCTAATATATTGAGGAAACTGTATGTACATATTGCTGAGGGATATAGATGTATATAAGGAATGGCTTTTTCACCTGTGGATGGTAACAAATTGATTTTGCTCTTTTATTTTATAAGTATAATATTTAAAATATAGGAAAAGGTTTGAGTGTATTTGATTTTGAACGTGAGGAGTGTTGACAAGAATTACTGGATCTCTGACTTCCAAGCTTTTGGGGGAATCTTGATTGTTTATTTTATTTGATGTAACTGTTCCTTTTCTTTTGTACCTGGAAGAATTCTATGGCCTATACAGATTTTTCTTTTCTTTTCTTTTCTTTTTTTTTTTTTGAGTTGGAGTCTCACTCTGTCACCCAGACTGGAGTGCAGTGGCTGCTCCTGGCCACCGAAGCCTTGACCTGCTGGACTCCGGCGATCCTTCCGCCTCAGCCTTCCAAGTAGCTGGAACTACAGGTACGTGCTACCACGCCCGGCTAATTTTTTGATTTATTGTAGAGACCAGGTCTTGCCAAGATGCTCAGGCTGGTCTCGAACAGGTGGGCTCAGGCAATCCACTCACCTCAGCCTCCCAAAGTGTGGGATTACAGGCTGAGCCACCGAGCCTGGCTGATTTTTCTTTTCTTAAAATAACATTTTTAGTCTGGGTGCAGTGACTCATGCCTATAATCCCAGCACTTAGGGAGGCTGAGTTGAGATGATTGCCTGAGCCCACCTGTTCGAGACCAGCCTGAGCATCTTGGCAAGACTTCATATCTATAATAAATCAAAAAAGTAGCTGGGCGTGGGGCGTGCACCTGTAGTTCCAGCTACTTGGAAGACTGAGGTGGGAGTATTGCCTGAACCCAGCAGGTCCAGGCTGCTGTGACTGTGAGCATGCCTCTGCACTCCAGACTGGGTGACAGAGTGAGACTTTGACTCAATAAACAAACAAACAAAAAAATCCTTTTTATTATAGAAAAGTTCAAATATATACAAAGCAAACAGAATAGTATGATGAGCTCCTTTGTACCCATTACCCCGCTTTCAAAGTCATCAACCTGCTGCTACTTCCATTTTTTCATTTGTACCTCCACCTGTGACCAAAAGCAAGTTCGGCCACCCACTGCCCAAAGCCAAACTTGAGAGATAAAGAGATAGTGAAAGGAAAGTGACTTTATTCCAAAAGCCGGCAGTTGGGGAAATGGCCAGGCTCATGCCTCCCACAGACCGTTGCAACTTGTGGGCTGTGTGCAAGGGTTTAAAAAGGGAAACTGGGGACAGGCGGCATGTGGGAGTGACAACGGCGCTGGTCTGCACAGCTTGTTTCCATGACTGGAGTCATTGCCCCACCTGGTGTACAGGCCAGCGCCCTCTTGCAGTTGTAACCTTGAGGTCATCTCCAGTTGGAGGAAAATCCCACTGCTGCCTGGCTTGCTTCAAGATTAGCCCCTGGAACTAACTAGGCAAGTACATAACTAGATAAGAGAACACAATGTAGGGGAGGGTCTGTTGGGAAATGAGAGGAAAGAAATCTCTCAAGCATGGTTTAAGGAGTGAGAGAAAAGAAAAACTTTTAAAATGCATTTTAGAATGAAGTACTCAGTTACACATTCATCCCCCATCTGCTACTCAACAATTTTGGGGGGGTAAAACTTGTATACATTGAGATGAACAAGCATAAACTGTACAGTTACAGCCATGTAACACACACCTCTTTAGTATGGCACATTTTTACCTCCCCAGAAAGTTCCCTTATATACCTTTCAAGTCTGTCTCTGTTGGATGAGTTGTGCCTGCTTTAAAATGTCATACAAGCCAGGCTCGGTGGCTCAGCCTGTAATCCCGTGCCTTTGGGAGGCTGAGGTGAGTGGATTGCCTGAGCCCGCGGGTTCGAGACCCGCCTGGGCAGGTGAGACCTCATCTCTACAATAAATAAAAAAAAAATTAGCTGGGTGTGGTAGCGCGCACCTGTAATTCCGGCCACTCGGTAGGCTGAGGCGGAAGGATTGCTGGAGCCTAGCAGGTCGAGGCTGTGGTGGCCGGGAGCGGCCACTGCACTCTAGTCTG